CATCATGAAGTTTTATTTTATTTTTTGAGCTCATACAGACCTAGGTTAATGTTTTTCTGATCAGTTCTATTTTTTGACTGTGGCATTTTTAAACATTGCAATGGAGATTTCACCTGTGAAAAGCTACAAGGCCTTTACTATTGTCCTATGTGTTGTATGTTTATGTGTGCACACTTGTGTTTTGTGTTGTATGTCTGTATGTGCGTACGTCCATATATCATATATGAGGAACGCTCATGAAAAAATGGATCCCAATTTTTTTTTATTCACGTGATTTAAATGGTTTAATTTAAATTGGGTAAACAGCTGTTGAGGATTGTTTTAATATGTGAACAAAAAAGGAGGTTAACAGATCTGTTTGTTTACTTTTACCTTTCCTTTTCATTATATTTAATAATTCTGTTCAGGATAATGTAAATTGTTTAGAAAATTGCTTTCTTTTAGTGCCTGCTGGAATGTTACATAATTTTTTTTTAGCTATCATTGCTAGAATTCCTATCTTCATCCCAGTGCCGGTGAAGACAAAGATAAAACTCAACTACAGCTTCTTCGATAGCTATCACAGTAAACTGTATAAACTGATGCATCAATGAATAATAACTCAGCAAGTGATGCTCAATCAAGGAGTCAATTTACTTTGGAGGAAACGGACATATTAATAGATTCCTCTGCTTTGAACTGTTTGCAGAACTTGCCTGGACTATGTATCACTTGCATGCATTGTGAACCATCTGTTGGTGCAGCGAATTGTGGAAGTGCTGGGGTATCTTTGCTGATGGTGTCATCAGTGATACAATTTTTCCAAAAAGAGCTGTCATTTGGCTTGGTGCCGTGGCATTTTGCATCCTCCTCCCTTCTACTTGTGATGTCTAAAATTTGGGGGCCAACAGAGGTGAGGCAAAGAACCTCACCACCACCCCCACTGGCACTAAGGCCAAATTTGGGGGACAATAGAGGTGAGGCAAAGAACCTCACCCCGCCACTGGTGCAAAGGCCTATCCACAAGTATGGCTGTATGCTGGATCGGTAGCCAATGACAGGTAAGATAAGACAGGAGGCTGACGCCTAGAGGTCAGCTCATCTGATGACGGGTAAGGACCACATGTAGTACTGGATAATCTAAGACAGGCACGGTCCCTAAACCACACGCTTGTTGTTTAATTAAACAGAAGCGGGGGAGATACTGAGAGCCACAGTTTAGTTGGAATGACAACTGGCATTTTGCTAGAGGGAATAGTTGAAAGGTGACCCTGCTCTGGGATTAGGGCTGATCCTGCTGCCTCGGGCGCCCTCTACTTTGGAGTTCCCGTTGAGTTCTCGCAGGGTTGCAGGAAAATTGGCGCACAGAGCCCGGTGGAGGGAGTTTGTTCCTGGGAAGTGTGTGTAGAGTGCTGGTGAGAGTTCGGGAATAAGGAGTTGCTGTTTGAACCTATAAAGCTTTGTGGCAGCTCGGTTATTTTGTGCCCAGCCAGACTACGGCAAAGAGATTCTTGGAAAATGTTAATAATTGTAGTAGAATTAAAGTCAGAATATATAACTTACAAATCACTGAGAGAGATTAAAAAGTGTATGAGATTACTCATATAGAAAGCTACAATTCGGGAAAATAAATACACATGCACACATTCACAAAGGAAACACAAAGAAGCATAAATAACAGGTATGCATACATACAAGCCATAAACTGGTATATACAAATAATTTTTTCTTCAGCTCAAGTCAGTTTTTATTTTGATGCCCCAGTTCTGATGAAGAGTGGGCAATTAAAATTTTGGATGTTAAAGTTTGCTTCTCTTTATCCTAGTGTTGTAGCAACACTCTGAGAGGTTTGTATAATTGTACAAGGACAATCTAGTTCTTGAGAAAGAAATAAAAAGATTATTGCTGAATTTCACAAACCCCAGATAAATGGCCTCTTTAAACCTTGTGGTTTTCTGACTCTACACTATCATATAAATCTCTATAATCTAAAATGTGGTTTTCATCCCTATTCCAGTGTCATGACACATTCTATTCCTCCTACTAGAAATATTTCCTTTACTTACCTATGACAACTGTGTAACTCTGGGGACATGACAAGTTCATCTAAACCCCTGCACTAATAGGACTGACCAAATTTCAGTATGGCTTCTAAAAACATAAAGCCACAAGACTAGTATTGATATAGTCAGGAACTACCACAGGGACAAAAGGCAGACACACTCCAGGGACTTAACTCATGAACCATTAAAAGTGCCATATGCTTGTGTTATGGTTTGGATGTGAGGTGTCCCCCAAAAGCTCATGCATGTGTGAGACAATGCAAGAAAGTTCAGAGGAGAGATGATTGGGTTGTAAGAGTTTTAACCCAATTGGAGATTTAACTCCCTGATAGGATTAACCGGGTGGTAACTGAAGTGGTAGGGTGTGGCTGGAGGCAGTGGGAATTGGGGCATGGTATATATTTGTAGCTGGTGAGTGCAGTCTCTCTCTTTCTGCTTTTTGATTACCATGATGTAAGCTACTTCCCTCTGCCACACTCTTCCACCATGACACTTTTCTACCATGATGTTCAGCCTCACCTTGAGCACCAAGGAATGGACTCCACTGTTTATGGATTGAGATCTTTGAAACCATGAGTTCTTTTTTCTTTTTTTTTTAAAGAGAGAGAGAGAAGAGAGATAGAGAGAGAATTTTTTAATATTTATTTTTCAGTTTTCGGTGGACATAACATCTTTATTTTTATGTGGTGCTGAGGATTGAACCCAGCGCCCCGTGCATGCGAGGCGAGCCTGTTACCACTTGAGCCACATCCCCAGCCCAACCATGAGTTCTTAAATAAACTTTTTCTCCTCTACAGTTGTTCTGGTTGGGTCTATTAGGTGCAGCAAGAAAAACACTGACTAAAACAGCTTGTAATCCCAGAAATTCAGGAGGTCGAGGTAGGAGGATCACAAGTCCAAGGCTAGCCGCAGCAAATTAGTGAGACTGTCTCAAAAATAAAATAAAAAATTAAAATAAATAAATAAATCTTATAAAAACTAGACAGTTCAAAGCCCCCAACAATAACAGGAACTAGAGAGGCTGCCAAGAAGCACTAACTTCACTCAGGCTGCAGATGCTGGATGGATGGACAATGAAAAGCAAGTTACAGCTTGGCACCTGTCTTTATTGTACACTTGCCTCCTTTATTACCTTAAAACTTACATCAGGTTCTTGCTGAACTCTGCACACTGGCATGTAAACTAATCAAGGAGCGTTCATCTAAAACTGGTTATACAAGATTTATTGACTTAAATTTACCTCTCCTGTACCCTTCAAGACTGAGGACACCATGATAGGAATAACTAAGGTATTTTCAAGATTTGCAGGGACATTCAACTGCCAGCTCTTACAATGTCCTATTCCAGACACCCCTAAAAAGTGCCTTGGAGTCTCCAGTCATTCTCCTAAATCTGCAGTTACTCAGAACTTCTGGAACAACACCTGGCAAACAGAATAGTCCATAATGAAACTGCCTCACTTAAGCAGGACCAAATCACCTCATAGAAACCAAATTGTCAACCATTCAGGATCACAGGTCTAATAAACATCATACAAAACAAATGCAGATCTCCTCCTTAAGTAAATAGCCCTTCTGTGGAGCCAAATGGGAAAGCCAGAACTGAGATAATGATCAGCCAGATTCCAATCCATCCCAGCAATCTGATAAAAAGGCTTGTCCTTTATTCTGGCAGTGGCATGGTCTTTCTTTTAGTATTGTCTCTCTTCTCCTTGAAGTTAACCCACGATGATCCTATTACAACTTTGCCTGTTCAGAGGTCATTCTTATTGTCACTGGCTCAGAGGGTCCCCATCTCTGGCATATTTATGAGGGAACCACCCATAAAATGCCTGCCTGAGAAAGTTCAACTGTTTTTCAGCCAACAAAATGATATGCTCTTGATACCCTTTTCTTAGGGCAGCTTTCAGAGAGAACTTGCCATTATAAATGTGCAACTTCTGCAACTCAGAAGTACTTTATCAAGGAATTCAGAGCCAAACCTTGCAAAAGCAGTCATCAAGAAGGACACAGCCTCTCAGTCAAAGGTTAAAAAGCCTAAGGTAACTACCAGCTAACAAACACTGTTGGCCTAATCACATTTACACTAGCCAATTCTGTAATTTTTCACTTTTTTGCACCCACACTTCCATTCACTCCAATTATTTTTAAAACACTGAATTGCCTCTGCATAAGGGAAATTGAGCTTAGTTCTCTCCCTTACTGTTAGTAGTCACTGGGCAAAACGTTTTTTATCACTTTAATATCCAGATGCTATTTTTGTCATCAACCACCTAATAACTAATTTCAGTCCCACTTCTTTGACAAAATGATTCCAAAACAGATGCAAAATGGTTTTCCCTTTCATCTGTCTTCCAAAGCATTTGCTGTCTGTGCCAGCAAAATGGGTGTTGGCACAGAATTTTACGCTTACCGAGCTTTATAAAAGCCATGTCATATTCAGGGTATACACTGTATTTGATTTAAAAAAAAAAAACGATAAAATATTCATTTATCCCTCAAAAACTCTGATATATTACATAGGGTGGCTTTCGGTACCTCTCCCCACCCCTTTCGCGATTCCCTTAAACTGGTTTTCTTCTCTTCATCTGAAGCCGGGTTTACAGCAGAACGCTGGAAACTAGCTGGATGAAGCGGCTTCCCTGTCCCAGAATAAACCCAGGATGGCAGAACCCAACGTTCGAAGATAGCCCAACAGGAGTCCACCGTACTACGCTTTCTCGCGACACCTGGAAGAGCGCAAAACTGCGACGTCCTCCCGGGAAAGGGACTTCTGGAGGGAGCGGGGGCGGAACTTCCGGGGTCCGGGCCACCCGCCGGGGTCTGAATAAGGATGCCACGGACTGAAAGGGGACCTGGGTGAGCGAAAGGAAACTCGGGGGAACAGAGTTTGGGCATCGGAGAGCAGAAGAGGCTCTCGCGGAAGCAGGGAAAAGACTCCGAAAGGTAGCGTGGAAGAGAGCTGAAGGGAGTCGTGGGGAAGCGGAAGCAGAATTTCCCCTCCCTTTCGGGCTCTGTATTCGTAGGAGCTGGCGGTAACCTTAGCGTCATCCGGAAGACCATCCCACAAGGTGGCTGTGGAGTGGATGCTAGCGCGTAGCCCAGCGAATCTCACTTGGAGAGCAGAGGGGCTCCGCTGCCCGGTCCTTGCCAGGCGGCCGAGCAGGCCCACTGTCCCCTGCTGGGCGTGGGAATGCAGTGGCTTGCGCCGCCCACTGACCTTCCGAGGTATTGGAGGCGCCGGAAAACTTTCCGGGGGAGGTGGGGGGGTTTTAACATTTTCAAGAGGACAAGAAGGCCTAATTTCAAAGCACTTATTTGATTTCTGAAGACTTCCAAGGCCTTGTGTTAATTAGGTAATGGTCTCTGGGATCTCCGTACTTGTTTCTTTCTGTTGTATTCAATCTGGCTTAACTGCCTTTATTCTAGAATTTTTGTATGTGTGCCGCAATGATTAAAAGGCAGTACACACGCAGAAGGGCCACAAATGTAGATTGAACCCGTAGGTAAATTATGATTGAAAAGACTGATGAGGATTGAGAGAATATCCAAATCAGCACTCCCACATTCCCCATCAAGGAGTTCAGTGTATACCAGCCATTGTTCTAGGTGCTCCCAGTTTGTAGAGATAAATGGACACGGACAGGGATAGCAGAAGACTCCTTTTGAAGACCTTGTGCTCTCTTGAGATAAGCTGGAGGGTTATTAATATTTATATCTTCTGAGGGAGGGAGGGAGGGATATGGTGATACAACATCTGATCTTTTCTTGACAACTTATTGGATGAAAGACAGGTACATAATAATTGGTTGGGGCACAGACAGAGAGTGATCAGCATTCCAGTAAAGAAAATCAGCCTTGCAAGAGGCATGGAATTGAAACAAGGTGAGTTATGAGAATAGTGAATTGGACAGATGGACTGTTGGTTGTGGCCAGTTTCTTAGCCCTATGTATGAAATTCAGTCTTAAGAATATTATTGGTAATTACTATTTGCCAGGCATTTTTCTAGACATGGCAATTGCCCTCATGCAGCTAAATGTAGTGGAACAATTTGATTAAGGAAGTAGGGAAGTCACGGAATGAAGGTTTTGATAAGGAAAGTAGAGGTGATGTTGTCTAGGGTGTTAGAGGAGATGACTTGGAGTTACTCTAAGGAAGAAAAATGTGTCACAGAGATCAAGGATACCAAAGTTTGGAATGATGAAAATCCTGAAGGATTTGAGGAACTGAAACTTTTTTATTGTGGTTGTGTGAAGGAGAGGGTTTGGGTGACTTGTAATGAAACTTGAAAGGTAAGTTTATATGGTAATATCCTAACATCAAACTGAAACCTTGACAAACAGGCAGCATATTGACAGTCTAATCTCACATACTTCTGTTTTTTTTCTTGTTCACTACCTGCCTTAGGTTGTTTTCTTAAGTATGATCTGTGTTAGTTTTCTGTTAATGATTCTAACATAATGGTGAAATAGGTAAGTACTTTTAATAAAACAACTAGTGTATTCTCTTTGGGGGTGGGGCGTGCTGGGGACTATTTGATCACCTTTGTAGAACTTGAAAACAAATTGGAGAGCAAAACCTTTGATCCCCCCCCCCCCCAGGGGTGAGGGGTGGGGGGGTGTCAGAAGGTCTTCTCTCTTACCTCTTTCTAGAGGCTTGGCAGTAAGACTGAATTGGCCTTCTGATGGGGCAGCAAGCGATCCTACAAGACAGATTTTAAACTTTTTACACTGAAGAAAGTTTATAACATTGTAAATGCCTCAGTACCTTTTTGTTGCCTTGTGATTTAGGGAGTAAACCAAGTATAGATTATTAAACTACTTGCTTACACAGAACTTGAATCTTAAACTGTATTTACTTATATTTTCAGATACTATAATAGTTGACTAGTGACTAACACCTTGTTATCTCCTCAGCATTGACCTGCTGTGTACTTTAGACTCTAAATTTAGAATTGGGATTGAAGTATACAAAATAGGCTCTTAGCAAATTTTTAGACTTGGCTGCCTAAACTTTGAGTCAGCTAATTTGGTAGGTTTAAACAGTGTCATTGAGTTTTTTTCTGGTACTATTCTTGTACAGACAAGGAAGGGAATCTGAGAGGAGGGAAAAAAAAAAAAAAAAAGAAGAGACGGTAGTGCAAGGAGTACAGAATGAGAAGAGAAAGAGAAAAATATGGAATTAATAGAGAAAATGTTACATGGCTTAATATAAGGTTTCCTGTAAGAAGTCAGCATTTCAAAGATCACAGATATTTAATGAGGCAAGGTATTACTGTTATTTACATATAACATAATATTACATAAGTATTTAAATGTTTAATGATTTAAAGATAGGGGATGAGGATCTGATGATATTTCATACTAATTGCACGAGTGTTCTTGGCTGCTGGAGGGAGGGACAATGTAGCAGACAAACCCCTTACAAATGAGAGCAGAAAACATATTGCTTGCTGATTCTGTTATCCTACAATAATAATTTAAAATGCTAATGATTTTATAAGCCTTTACTCCTTTGTATTTTTTAGTTTTGACTCTTTAGTCTTTTCCCTATATAGAGCATTATAAAAAACACAGGCAAATTTATTTCTTTAATGTTGTATAATCCATATCAAGTTTCTCTAGCATTTTTATATGAAGTCATGATTAGTGTGGAGAGGATCAGGACTTCTGCCCCGAATTAATTTTATTAATTGAGTTGCCTCTATATTTGATTGTCCCTGGGGATAAAACATGCAGAGAGCACACACAGTCCATACAAAAGCAAATTCCTGGAAATATGTTTGGCTCTGAGTATATACACTTGGGTTCTGTGTGAGCTGAGCTATTTACTGATCTTGAGAACATATTTTCTCTAGACCTGGAAGGAGCCCTAAGGAACCCTGAGCCCTACTCTATGTTGCTTTCTTAGGAAGGGACATTCCCTAGACTGAAAGCAACCCCAGGTTCCTTTTCCACAAGGGTCTGGGGGTTCTGCAGGGGTTGTTCTGGAGGTGACATGTAGAGACCAACTAGTAAAGACATAATGGGAGAACAGATCACAGTGAATCCAAAACAGGAGTATCAGTGGGAGCAGATTCCTTTGTTGACTCTTATAGAATGCTCAAAACTATTATGTGTCTCTGAAAGGGGGAGTAAGAATAAGGATACTGGTTTCTCATTTAAGTGTGCTAACAATAATTATTAGGTATTTACCTTAGTATCTACTAGGTATACTGCCTGTCATTCTAAGAAAATTACAAAGGATGTATCAGGATGTAAAACTCTGTTTTTTTTTTGATTGTCCATTTGTAAGAGACACACAAAGTCCTTTAATAAGGACTTTTGCTTACTATCCAACAGCTTTGTGAGATATCTAGGCAAATAGTTAAAGTAGGAAGAATATACTAATAGACCCTTCCTTATAAAGTATATAAAATGGACATTATAGATATGCAGAGTACCTTTAGATTATCTCTTAATAAGCTAATTTCTTTAAAGTGGCCATGTTTTGATTGATGATTCAATAGAGATCATATTGTGTACAAACTTTTTATAAACTTGATTAAAACCAGACAAGGAGCTCTTGCCCTCCTTTTCTGAAAGGAAACAGAGATTCTTAGCTGATTGGAAGAGTGGTGGCCAGCTGACCAGAGGCCAGTGAAGAAGAGAATTTGGTCAAATATAATGCCCTACACACTTTGAACTTGTATTTATTAGAAACCCAACAGTAAATTATTTTTTTCTATTTTGTAATTCTTTTGGAATTGCATTATGTGTCTTTTAGTTCCACAAATATTGAATTTAAAATTATATGCTAAGAGTTATGAATAAGGCATAGTCTCTCTTTAAAAATTTAATTTAATGGAGTCAGGAACTCACCTTCAAAATATTACCATTGCCATGGACAGTGGTGCAAACCTGTAATCCCAGCTACTTGGGAGGCTGAAGCAGGAGGATTGTGAGTTCAAGACCAGCCTTGGGAATTTATTGGCGACCCTGTCTCCAAATTAAAAAAATAAAAAAGGAGACCTGGGATGTAGTTCAGTGGTAAAGCACCGCTGGGTTAAATCCCCAGTAAAACACACACATTCCCCCCCACACACACACACAGAGCTATCATTTGTGTCAGTTCTAAAACTCTGTTTTTTTGATTGTCCATTTGTAAGAGACACACAAAGTCCTTTAATAAGGACTTTTGCTTACTTGCCAGACCTGACAAAGACTTCACACTGTATTATCAGTGGCTCCAATGTAACATTTGTGTTCCTTACGAGTTTTCTATTATGAAATGAAATAGAGTACTTAAGAAACTGTCTTCGAAATTGACAATTTAAAAGTTTGGGAAACATTATCTGTATATTCTTTAGGGTTTGTTAAAAAGTTTACTGAGAAGTATATGTAGCATACACAGAATGTAAAATATATAAGAAGAATGTAAAATATATAAGAAGAATGTAAAGAACAATGACAAAGTAATTACCATTGTATCCATTATTTAGGTTAGGAAATAGGACACATCCACACTCTGAAACCTAACTTTAAGCACCTGTTAGGTGACTCAAACACTTGTTTTTCTTCATTCTTTACATTTAGGTTATCTTATTTATGACTAAATGTAATATAATCTGAAATTCATAACCATAGATTTTTAAAATTTTATAAGTATTTAATAATTAATGCATAATAAGATAGCCTGTGTATAAAATATGTTTAGAATGCTCAGAAGACTTGATTATAGGTAGCTGTGGAGTGATTTGAAGGAGTATTTCAGGTTTTACAGATTATTTGATAAATTGATATTTGCTTTTTAAAATGGAAGGGCGGGGGTGGGGAGAGAAAGACAATAGCAAGTGCTAACAAGATTGTGGAGGAAATTTAACATTCACTACTTATGGGAATATACATTGGTACAATCATTTCAGAAAATGCAGACAGTATTTTCTAAAGTTGAACAAATGAAAACAGTACATGCATTATGATTGATGGTATACCAGTCAGTTGGCTGTGTGTGTGTGTATGAGAGAGAGAGAGAGAAAAGTGAGCTCGTGCACATGTGCGCATGCATGCTAGTGCTTGTTAATAGTTGGAACTACCAATGGTCTAAAAAGTTAACTTTGAAAATTCTTCAATATTTAACAATCAGGATAAGATGAGCTGTAGCATACCAACCCAATAGTTCTATTCTTAGATATTTATCCATCAGAAATGTATATATAGTGGCCAGTAGATACATACCAAAGTTGTGTATAGCAACTCTTTGTAATGCTAAAAACTGGAAACACCTCAAAAGACTGTTAACATAGAATAGGTAAGTTGTGATACATTCATGTAATAGAATGCAGGAATGATGATGATTGACTATTTAGTCTCTAATTGTACATAATATTAGCAATGGATTCAGAAATAGAAAGTTGAAACCAGACACAAAAGAATATATGCTTTTCAATTCATGTAAAGTTAAAAAGTATGCAGACTAACCTTGGGTTAGTTTGTCATCCTTATTTGAGGCATTCTGAGTGCAAGATGGCACAAAGGACCTCTTGAGGTTCAAGTTATGTTCTATTTCTTGATTTGAGTGCTATTTTAACTAGGATATTTTCAACTAGTGAAAAATTATTGAGCTGTGTCTTATGTTTTGTATACTTTTCTGAATATATGTTTTATATTAACAAAAATGTTTTGATTTTCGTTAGGCAAAAAAAAGTTGATTTACATAGGGCAAAAAAAAGCCTAGGGGGAAAAGATGAGATTATTGAGGATATATGTATAAAATAAGAAGAAAAGAGAATAGAACCATGGAGAACACAAAATCCACATACACATTCCTGTCCTTCCCCATTTTCCTTATGATCCTTTCCAGCTTTTTGTATGAAAGCATGGCAAAGGGAAGGATAATGCTAAGAATAAAATTTCTATTAGGGTGCAATTGCTCTCATAGCATTCTGTTTCCAATGGGAAAACAGAATAACTGATTGGAAGAGTGGTGGCCAGCTGACCAGAGGCCAGTGATATTTGGACTGAATTAGATTTTGAAAAAGTTAAGGGTTGGAAAATGAAAAACTACTGTGATGAGAAAGACTACCTGGAGACAGGACGTTTAATTAAATAGAGAAAAGCAACATTTTTTCTAAGCCTTTTTAGTTTTATTAGGTCCCAGTAAATGCATTGTAATTATGTCATTCTCCTTGATACACTGAAATGATATGTTTTGTGAATCAGCCTGTGGCTGATTAACACATAATAGTAGAAAATTGAGTCTGTTAATCTGGACAGCTGTATACTTACCTCTGTTTTTTCAGAAATGGCAAAAAATCTTTTGAATGCAACATCTCTGTCTGCAAGGACAAAACTACTACATCAAGTGGGAGTATCACTTTATAATACTTCTCATGGCTTCTATGAAGAAGAAGTAAAAAAGACATTGCAGCAGTTTCCTGGTGGATCCATTGACCTTCAGAAGGAAGATAATGGCATTGGCATTCTTACTCTGAACAATCCCAGTAAAATGAATGCTTTCTCAGGTATCATCTTTTCTAAAATAAAGAATGAGACACTCAATCTTACATGCTATCACATATTTTGTCTTTGGTGACTGAATCTTCAAAATCTTTGCTCTTTGTAGAATGCATGCAACCAAATGAAACTCTGTTACATGATCCAGGAACATTTTTACTAATGTTAAAATGGTATCTTAATGTTTTAAAAAGAATTGTGAACACAGATATTGATAAAAAGGACACTGTTAAATCAGTCTTATTTTTTCCATAATTTATTAACTATATAAAAACTTTGTTTTCAGCTAATACCACTGAGAAACAAGGAAGAGAAAGTTTCAAAGATTTACTGAAACTGAATAGAAAAACCCATAAATGAAAAAAAAATATTTTGCTTACATTTTTTTTAATGAATTGAGATAAGACTGTTATTGTTAATTTCCCTCTGTTGCCTACAAAGTGTTCATTTTAGGAAAAAAGGCACTCCTTTTAAAAAATTTCTTTTTAAATTTTTAATTGTCATATATATGTAGTACAGTGTGATAATTTGATACATATATTTAATATATAATGTTAAAATTAGAGTAATTAGCATTTTCTTGTGTTGAGACCTTCAAACTCCTCTTAAAATTATTTTGAGATACAAAATGTTATTTCTTATAAATACATAATGTTATTTGTTATAAATGTATTATTTATATATATTAAACTATATATAATAAAATTGTTTTATATATATTGCATATAATGATTATTAACACATATAATAAATTATTGTTCTGTAGCATTTACCAAACTAGTGAGTATTAGAACTCATTTCTCCAATTGAAACACTGCACTGGCCTATCTGTTGACACTTGCCTAACTCTTAGATTCTGATGAATAACTTTTACCTATTAGTCAAAATTCTGAGCATATAATAATTTTATATTTAAGAGACATGGAGAACAGAACGTGGTAATTTTTACTAAAGCTCAAATTTGAATCACGCTACCACCATGTTATATAAGAGGTATTAAATAGCCTTCTTGACCACATATTATGTTTCAAGGTGATTTTGTGATCTGCTTGTAAGTTATGCACTGCATGGGGCAGAATAAATTCTGTTCTTTAGTAGCACTTGAATATTGGACTCAAAAATATCTCAGTAATTTTATGTGTCTATATATAATTATCATTATAACTGCAGATATAATTGAGTAAGTTGTAAACTTTGTAAATACCAGTAGTGACTCTTTATAACTCACAACTTTTCTCTCTGCTTATCAGAATTAAGAGGTATTTTTCTTTTCTTTTTTTTTTTTTTGCTACTGGGGATTGAATCCAGGAGTGCTTAACCACTAAACCGCATCCCTAGCCCTTTTTTGTATTTTATTTAGAGACAAGGTCTCACTGAGTTATTTAGGGCCTCACTAAATTGTTGAGGCTGACTTCGAACTCGAAATCCTCCAGCCTCAGTTGGGATTACAGATCTGCACCACCACACCTGGCCAGAGATATTTTTCTAGGTCAGTGCTGACCAATAAAATATAATATAAAACCCAAATGTGATCTGCATGTGTAATTTTAAATAGTCTAGTAGTCATCATTAAAAAAAAGTCAAAAGAGAGACAGATAAAATTGATTTTAAAAATAATACCTTTAATTTAACTCAGCATATCTAAAATATTATTTCAATAAGTAACTGATACATGAATGAGAAATTTTCTTACTAAGTCTTCAAAAGGTGGTCTTAAACTCACTGTACTTCTCAGTTTAGCCTCATTTCAAGTTCTCAGTAGAGTAGCTACATGTGCTTCATCATTACTTTATTAGATGCTATAGTTCCATACTTTCAGTTAGCTTTAAGGAATAAAATCCAAATTTGATATTAGCCCAGGAAAAATAAAATTAGAAAGTCAAGAATGCTCTAGAGGATTAAATTATATTAATGGTTCTAATTTGCTACTGAATAGTTACAAATAATCTTTTGTTCTATAGGAAACACTAATTTAATGCATAATGTATCAATTTAGTAAAAACAGAGCTGCTTTGATTTGAGTAATGATGTTTAATTAGGTTTAGTGGGGAAAGGATGAGTGAGAATCATTCATCCAGATACTTTATTTCACAAAGTCAAAAACATGAATTTAAGATTAACTATTGTATAGATATTGTTAGATTCAAGGCCAACATAATTATTTGTAGATACTTAAATATCTTAGATAATTTGAGATCCATATTTGCCTATATAGATTTATTCTTACCTTAAACATGTAGGTCTTTTATTTCCCCTGCTAAACTGGAAATCATTTGAGAACAAGAGCTCTACTTCTAGAGCACCTAGGACTTTCTTGGGAAGGGTTACAGTTCTAAATGTGCCATAATTAGTGATTAGAGAGGATAGCTACATTACTCAATTTTCTAAGTCCAAACATTGATTTAACATTTGTTGTAGAACCACCTTGCTACTGGTTACTTCAAAAAATGGCAAAGAAAATAATAGCTCTGACAGTAGGGATTTTATATTACAAAATTAAATGTATGTAGTTTAATATGAGCTATAAAAATTTTCTGGAAACTTGTACAGATTTTTTGGCATTTTAACCCTTTGTTGTGATCTTTACATTGCTTCTACTTTGAAGTTTTCTAGGCAGAGGAAAATAAAATTAATTATGTTGAAAACATTACAGACTTTATAAACTTGGAACATTACCAAAGATAAGCACATTTAACAGTCACTGATTAAATCTTTAAAGTTTCTTTTTCTGTTTTAAATTTATTATAAGGATGCTCAAATAGAATTTTGAAATATCTAATCAATAATTCATAGATTTCATGGTTGGAAGGCATGTGAAGAGTATCTGTGGTTTACCTTGGGTTTGTAAAAGCACAGTTCATCAGTCATGGAATAAGATATTTACTTCCTGAACTTTCCTCAACTGGCATCCTGTTATACTCCTACTGGTATGAACAGAGTAGGAATTTCACTTTATTCCAGTATACCATATGTTTGGATTGTCACAAGATCTCATAGTCATATGTTATAACGTTTGTTAAGATTGTCAGTTGGGACACTTATGCATTTGCTGTGAAGTTATCTCTATATTTTTATGTTTACCCTAAGAAGTAAATTTTCATCATCTCAAATTGTATATTCCTGTTCCTACTCCTGCGACATGTATGATAAATTTAACTTTCCTCCTTAAATATATATTTGTATGAATTCTTTTGGTACCAGGGATTGAGCCCAGGGCCCCTTAATCACTGAGCCACATACCCAGCCCTTTTTATATTTTATTTTGAGACAAGGTCTTGCTGAGTTACTTAGGGCCTTGGTAAGTTGCTGAGGCTAGCTTTGAACTCACGATCCTCCTGCCTCAGTCTCCCCAGCCACAGGGATTACAGGTATGCTCCATCACTCCTAGCTATTTGTATGAATTCTTGAGGTAGAGATAGATAAACTAAAAAATTTGTATCTTTAAAGCAGAGACTCATAGATCCTCTATGTACTCTGTTGTACTAGTACAAATAGGCATTTGATAGACATTCAGTAAATATTTGTAAAATACATGAACTAAAAGTCTTGCTTGACATTTTTTTTAATTATCAAGATTTTATTTAGCATGACAATACAGTTTATACTGGTAATAAATTAATATATACAGTTATAAAAAATGTTTGGTGCTATCTAAGAAAAATGTTTCTTAATCTATGCAAAATCCTTTAAATAGCTGACTTAATTTTCAAACCCAGAAGTGTGGTAACATTGTTGATGAAAATTGGAAATTCTATTCCCTGTAATTCATGATTCAGACAGTGTTGAGTTTATAACGGTTTCACTTGCCCTATCTGTTCTGGCAACGTCCCACAACTGAATGGGAACTGGTAGCTGGAAACTGACCCTATTTCCTATACCTGTACAGTGAGGGATCCACTGGCCTGGCCTCAGACTCCAGAGCTAATCAGACAGAGATTGGGTTAGATTGGCGTAAATCACAGAGGTGTTCCACAAATGTCTATGGGAGTAAATAAGGCACAAGCATCACTCAGAACTCGAGTCATACCTGAAAACCTTGATTTTACTTTCTGCTTACTATAGGATTCATTCCTGGTATGTTATATTGTAGTTCTAAAACTTAAGCAACTCAGTTGATTTAAAACAAAATCATTAGGTCTGGGGATATAGCTCAGTTGGTAGAGTGTTTGCCTTGCATGCACAAGTCCCTGTGGGTTCAATCCCCAGCACCACAAAAGAAAACAAAAAACCAACATTCCTATTATTGCAATATTATCAACAGTCACTGACTGTTGTATTTCTTTGCTCCTGGGATGTTTGAACTTGGGCAACTTTTCATCAACAGCAGAGAGAGTGTTTATGTTAACACCATCTACAGTGAGCTTGAAGATAGTTTATTTCTCTTTGCAGGTTACTGCCCACCGGAGTCAACCTGTACCCTACTCTGTTCATCTGAGCAGTCACTTTGCTTTTCAAAGTAGTGTGGATTATTTCTGGGCTGACAGTGTTCCTAACAGCAGTGAGATTTCATCATGTCATGAATATGCCATATAATGCACCAAGTACAGCTAGCATATAATTTTTAATTTATTATGTTTCAGCCTAATAGTTGCATATAGCCATGCTGCTGCCAGGTTTAAAAAAGAAAAAGTCCACTTGTTTTAATTTAAACTTCAAAGGAGTGTAGTTTATTTATCAATCAGTACATATTTAGCAGGCTTTCTAATTGCAGGAGCCATACCCAAATAACTTGTCAGATATCAGTACATTTTCATACACACAGCAAAGTTGTGTTTGTAATGGAAATTTTCCAATTTTCTTTTGATTATAATTTCTTTCTACTCTGAGCACTCTAGCAAAGGAAGACTAATAGTCTATCTTCATATATTTCTCTTTCTCCCTGGCAACATTTCTCTGGTAGGAGTGCATGTTTGGTTTGGTTGCATGCTATAGAGGCTTATTAGATGTGTCCACATGGATATATTTATTCAGAACAGGCCTTCCATTTTCAAGTTCATTCTCTATTATAGATACTTTGCTTTTTAGGAGTAGGGACACAATACTGTGATAGGCTAAAAGCACTGGCACCAGCCATATAGTCTTGGCATTAACCCCTCTCTGAAATGCAATTTCATTGGTTATATCAGAAAATAATCAAAAATCTAGACACAAAAATATTTGCTTTGATCTGGTAAAATAAAGCATTCATTTACTAAGTTGGCTTGTTTGCTTCCTTCAGTTTTTTTTTTAATCTAGTCATGATTTTTAAAGAACATAAGGAATCTCTACTTCTTTGACCATTTCACTTTAGACTTTTCTTCCTTATTCACTTACCTGTAGCAATGGAGAAAATATAGTCAATCTTTTCTCTTTAATACCGCAATAGAACTCTGTCCATGAAGTGTAACAGAAATGACATGCTGAACAGCACCTGAACATTCTAATATTGGAGACTGTCTTGGTGATGGAACCAGAAGGGCAGTACTAAGGAAGTAGTGGATTTTTATTTAAGTTAATATAATAAAGCTGATGGTCAAATTTCAAAGAAAGCTAATTTTAACCATCTTAGTAACTAGTTAAAAATATAATCTCTTTTTAATAAATCCTAATGACTGAGGTAGATGATGCTGTTATATCAGATACTGAATTAGGTTTAAGGTATAAAAATGATAACTAAGGGAAAGAAAGCACTGATTTAAAATTATCTTCCTTTAAATTCAGGTGGATAATTAAGAATGTTTCCAATTCAATGTTCTAAACATGAAATCCAGGTATGGGCTCACTTTTGTATTTGAAGATGAACTCAGCAGTTGGAGGACAAATGGGCTAACAGAATGACAAACCACGAAACAGCTGTCCCCATGAAAAAATCAGTTACTCTGCATTTGATATTTCCATCTGGGCTCATTCTCAACTGTTCAGGATGTGGATTCCTAAAGCATTTAAGTAATTTTTTGTTAGTTGAAGGTGCTGGGGCTGTTTCTCCACACATAAATTGATCTTTGTCATGAATCACTTTCTTATGAGAGAACAGCTAGGACATATTGCCACATCTTCCCCATTCTCCAAATCTTCCTTGGTGATGGAAAAGTTATCTCCACACAGGCAGGTGTAGAAATTCATTTCGGAGTTCTCATCATATTGTAAGTCCTTGATCTCTACCTCATTGTGAAACACTGCCCCATGGTGGTTGGGGCTAGCAAAAGGCTGGTGCCCCAGTGGTCCAACACCGCCTCTGTTGGTCTAACTTCTCGAATGCCATCTGGGCTTGCTTGATACAATTTTATTTCTGAATTATTTCTGTTTTTGTAATCTCTTACATGTGTTGTGATTTTTCCTCTTCCCTCTCTGGCAGGTGTTATGATGCTACAACTTTTGGAGAAAGTGATTGAATTGGAAAATTGGACAGAAGGGAAAGGCCTCATTGTTCGTGGGGCAAAAAATACTTTCTCTTCAGGATCTGATCTGAATGCTGTGAAAGCTCTAGGAACTCCGCAGGCAAGTGTTATGTGAATTATGCTTTAGGTTGTACATGTCGACCAGACGTTTAAGATATTTATATTTTACTTATGTGGTTATTAGAATGACTTGTACTCTTAAATAGCTTTCTTAGAAACTAAGATCTGAGTATTGGGAATCTCTTTTTCAAGGCCATTGATATGGCATATTCCTGGGTTAATTGAACCTTTCATATGGCAGAAGAAAAAAGCTCTGAATTTAGAATCTTGGGTTTAGGTATAGATCTGGCCCATAACTGAGAAAATTAAGAAGGTTGGCCTTTTATTCCTCAGCTCCATGGAGGTAGTAAAATCTACCTCACAGATTTTTGGAGGCTTGGGATGTCTACTAAAATACTGCTTTGTAATCTGGAAGACTATCATAAGATTTTAAATTAGTGATATAAATTGGTAACACTAAGATGATAGGTTAAATTCAAGATCATCACCTTCTTTCTAGAAGTCAGGTGAAATAACTACTCCTTTTGTAGCCATTTGTTTTGCTTCTTAAAGGTTAAGGTACGATAATATGAAGGACTGAAAAAAAGGAAGGCCAGGAAGATTAGTAATGACCAAAGGTTATAATTAAAATCATCAAGACTTTTGAGTTTTTTAAGTGTAAGCTCCCTAGCATCTCTGATGAGGAGTTTGACAAGGTATACATAGGCACCTAGCAAACTGACACATAGTAAATTTCAACCAGTATTAATGATTTTAAAAGTATGCTTGTGAATTACCTGTTAGAGTAGGAATCCTAATCCTTTTCCATTATCAGTCCTCAAAGGAACTGGTTTTTCTTGAATTCAGCCCACATTCCATAGGTCAAAAAGAAAAAGAAAAGAAAGGGAAGGGAAGGGAAAGAAAATGAAGTGAAAGGAAGGGGGAAATGAAAGTAGGGAAAAAAGTAACTAGTATTTGTTATCCATTTAATAATAGTGGGTTATGTGTAGGTATTTAAGTTTTAATGATATTTCACAAGTCTCATACCAGTGTATGTAGTATATTATTCCTATTTGCATAAATATGTAAGAGAAAATCTCTTCTGATAAACCAGAGCATTGATTTTGATGGAATTAGATTTGAATGCTGGTTTTAACACTTTCTGGCCAAGCAATTGGGCAAAACACTTAATCTTTCTAAGTCTGTTTTCCTAATATAATTTTTAATTTTTAGTTGTAGATGGACACAATACCTTTATTTTATTTATTTATTTTTATGTGGTGCTGAAGTTTGAACCCAGTGTCTCACGTGTACTAGGCAAGAGCTCTACCACTGAGCCACAACCCCAGCCCTTATTTTCCTAATCTTTAAATGAGGATTATAATACATATTTTATAGAGCTATTGTAAAGATTCAGGATAATATATAATAAAGTGGCTACTAGCCCTGTGTTTGAAAAAGTTGGCTGTTATTTTTATTTCAAAGAGTTTGAGATAGTAATAAACCTTATTATCCTTGAGATGATGTGGAATTACAGCACCACTTCTAGACTTAAATTTGTAATGTGTTGGAATGGTGAGAGCTTTAACCTGGAAATTTGAAGGGATGGATTGTTTCCAAAGCTTTATCAGTAATTAACTGGGTGACCTGCAATATATGAAAATAATTCATCTGATTTTATATATATATAAAATATATATTTTATATATATATATAAAGCTTTTACATATATGTATAAACACACATCATTGTCATCTCTAGAATGGTTGTATTACTATTCACCGTAGTTCACAAAAGATACTATCAAGATAGAATGAAATAATAGATTATTGTGGGCCTGATATAAGTTATGTAGGAAAACATCTCTAAAAAGATGAATTCTAATTCTACCTTCTTATTTTCTTGTAGTCAGAAAGTTGTTTCTGTCTCTTTAGATCATGTAGCCAGGACTTTTTTCCCATATGTGTAAAAGACAGAAGTGGAAGTATATGCGTGTTGTGTGTGTGTGAGGAGGGGTGGGAGGGGTGTATAAATCATTGGTATGATGTGAGTCATGTTGTAACAACATTTATTGAGAGAATTTTTGTCCAGACTTAGGTAAGTTTGCTCTTTGTAGTATAGACATTTTCCAAGTATTATGCTATCATCAGTGTCTGCAATAAATTTGTTGATTGATAGCTGAGAACTAGAGGTGTCCATTGCTTCTTGCTATATGCATCTTCCAAGTTTCTTTAAGAAAATAAGGAATTGCAAATCTGCTTTACAATGAGTATGCTTAAATTCCAGATTAGAGTTGACCTATTTTGTTTAAAGCATTTTTCAGTATAAATGAATTCTTTATTGTATTTCTATGAAGTTTCCCTAGTCATAGTATAAGAAATATATAGCATAAAAATAATATTAAGAAACATAGTATATATGTATAGAGGGTATTTTATCACATTTATTCTACAATTAACAAGAACTAGAAATGATATATGTAAAGTTTCTGACAACCATTTTACATGTAGACTATATTCTTATGTACTTGAGAAATAGCTATAAATACATGTAAAACTGAAATTAAAAATAGCTTTGGGGCTTACGAGGCTCATGCATGTATATGAGTTGCAGCTATCTGTTAAATACATTGTACTCTTACAGTTGAGTTATTTGAAGACTTTTTAACATGACTTAAATGCAAACTGTTTTCTCTCAATGGGGCACTTTATCCAACATACTGACTCTTTGTTGTTATAGATGCATTATTAGCATCTGCTTATTTGGTGAATTTGCCTTTTCTGAGAATGATGGGGTGATTGGAATATTTGATAATTTTAGTAAATTGTAGTACATTCCCTTGTAATTATAATAAAATGCTTTAAAGTGATTATTAAGTGAATTTTTTTGAAAAGGGTAATCATTTAGTATTTTTGTCACTGTAATTTTTCAATCTTAAAAATGTTTACTAATGAAAATTATTAAATAAAAACAAGAGACTAATAGAATGAAATCCTCATGTACCCATAGCATCATTAATAGCTATTAACATTTATTGTATTTGCATATCTTTACTATACTTTTTTTCTCCTTTCAAGTGTAACTGATCCCTTAAAAAGTTGGTTTCATTTTGGTAGCCTTTGTTTAATGAACAGGAGAAAAGTTCCAACTGTCCCTGTTAGGCAATTAAAATTCTTACTATCTTACAGACCAAGTAATGGAATAACATGATGAAAGGATTAGCCCTGAAAAGTTATGGGAGGGAGAAAAGAATAAAATGGCAACAAATAATGCAGATTTTAATCCAATTATAAGATTTGAAATTGATCACCACAGATGTTGCATGAACTGTAAGGAGTTTTCTTTAGAGAGAGGAAGTAATCAGACTCCATCTATAAGCTTCATGAGACTCCACTCTTTATGTAATCTTCTACAGAGTGTGTAGGTACATTTCTACCTTTCCAATCACCATTTGAATCAAATAAAACAAGATTTTTTTTCTTCCTCATTCCTTATGGAAGAGGAAAATGAAGTTCATAGTTATGATTCGTTTAAGTTCATGTTGTTATTAAGGGGTAGCACTAGGATTCACACTCAGCTCTTTAATTCCCATTTGGTTTTGCCATGCTAAGTTTGAGATGTTGGCAGAATGCGAAAGTATCTACTAGGTTTTAACATTTAGCTTAAAAACAGTAGTTGAAGTCTTTGGAAGTGGATGAATCTTCCAAGGAAGAAAGTATAAAAAAACAAGAAAGAATCGTGGATTAGATTTTTGAGAACATGTGCATTTAGAGTATTAGCTGAATAAAAAGAGTTAGGAATGAAACCTAGAAACGAATAATCAAAGAAATAGAAAGAGAATTGGGAGTATAAAATTTTGCCATTAAACTGTGAGGATCAGGATAAAGAAACTGGTCAGAAAAAGATACTACCTGTTATGGACAAAGAGAAGACAACAGAGAAAGAGAAGTCATTTAATTTGATGAAGAGACTATTAGAAAGTTTGAGGGAAGTTATTTGGGAGCAGGTTGAAGGCCAGATCATACTGTGTTGACCAAAGTATGTGAGGTGAAAAAGAATATATAATACATTTGGACTACTTTTAAGACATTTGCAATTTGTGGAGATACCAGTATAAAAGCCTTAGGCGTACAGAACATGAAAACATATTACAACTTTTTGCTTCTTCCCTTCCTCCTTTTATGTGTTTATATTCATAGGGTTAATAGGTGGGTGTATCTTATGCTTCTTCCCCCAGATTACCCAGAGTGGAATGCTTCACTGTTCTAGGTGTGTGATCTGACTCTCATACCTGCTTCTTGTTCGTCATAATCTCATGCAAAACTGAGCTCAAGAACCTTTAGGACATCAAGAGTAAAATACTGCATTATTTGAATTTCAGACAGCATCAAAGGGTTTTAAATAGAAATTTCATTTTTTTTAAGTTAGATATATTTTTGTCTTCATTGTTTATACTAAAAGCTGAATTTTAAAAATATTTCTTAGGTAATACATGTGTGTTATACCTTTGTTTTATGCTTATTTTTATTTAAAGGATGGAGTGGCCTTATCCATGTTCATGCAAAACACCTTAACAAGATTTATGAGGTAATGTATCTTTCTTTTAAATTTATAATTTCTAAAAGATCAAAAATCTCTCTTTACTATTCCATTATTTATACCAGTTAAAAAAATAATAACTAATTTTCAAATTGTGTATATTCTAGTGATGAACTGTTTCCTTGTGTGTGGAGGACAGTCATTTAGTTGCTAATGAAATGTACATGAGTACTGAAGAAAAGAATTTAGACCTAGCCCCTTTCCCTAAGGAGCTTATATCACTAGGTATATTAAGGAATAGACATGGGGGGAGTCGAATACTGATATTAGAGCAAACTATAGACAGTGATCTATTAAAAACAGATAAAGATTATCACATATTTAAGTTAGTAGAATGTGGAGTGGAGTGAATCCAGAGGAGAGAAAAAGAATTAAAGATTGGAGAAGACTACAGCTTTCTGAGAGATGGATTTACTTTGCATCTAGATGAAGAAGAAAAGGGGGGACAATTCTTTTATGCATTTGGACATACAAACTGACATATTTGGGCTAATTAACTTTCTACTTTCACATTCTGATTATAACAATTTAAAAATTATAAAAACTAAGGAAATTTATATTTAAGCATACTTATTTATTGGTATTCATCACTATTTTTGTTACTCATTATATCTGATAGAGTGATTGAATTATAATATTACTATTCTAAAATACTTTTTTTCATTATTTTAACTCCCGAATTCATCTCTTTCCCCTATTATGCCTGACTTTTTCTCAAATTCATGTGAAAAGTTATTCTTTTTTAGACAATCTTTTCTACTTGGGAGCAGTATGTATCAAGGAGCACTCAGTTATTTTACATCTGCAGCTTCACTTTTTGTTTAGAACCTATAAAAAAATTCCATACTTTTAAAACATTTTAGACTTACCATGTAGTAGTCACACATTCTTACAAACAGAAAAGGTAAAAGATTTATTTTATAACACAAAATAATGTCTCCACATAGGATTAATCTGTGGATCATTTCAAGCACTAATGAGAAGATTTTTGAGGAACCTTCAGTATACAGTTTTGGACCCCTATCTTCTAGATCACAGTTTCCACCATGGCTGCAGCCTTAATTTTCCTACCCTTAAATAATTTTAGTAAAAATGGACTAAGATGATATTACGTTAAATTATTCACAGTTGCCAGCTTCTGAGAAGTCCCAGGGGCTTTAAATTATACAAAAGCATCCATATTTGGAATAAAGGTATAATATGCTGTCCTTTCAAAAGTATATTATAAGGGAGCTATTTTGATAAACTTACATCCTATTTAGCATGAATTTTTGTATTTTTAGTGTTATGTTGTTTTTTTCTCAAGGTGCATAGATTCAAGGTTCTACTGTCCTTTGATGTGTTTGCTATAAACACAGTGCAATAATTTTGTTTCAACTATATTTTAAGATTTTTAAAAATATTAAAAAATAGAAATATTAACATCCATTTGTTTTTCAATACACAGACTTCCTTTAATTAGTGTTGCACTAATTCAAGGTCGGGCATTGGGTGGAGGAGCAGAATTTACTACAGCATGTGATTTCAGGTAGGATAAACATTGCATTATTTCTTGTTTAAACATAATTAGCATATTTATTTTCTGCCTTCATTTCTATATTTAGTATATTCTTAAACAAGATAATAAATTAGTGAATATTATCTTTTTTGTCAGTCATTATAGTAGATAGTTTTATTTTAGTTTAATTACTATTTTATGCCTTGAAAAAATTAAAACACAATGATTTTGACTAAATCAAATTCATATTAGCGAAACCTCTAGGAAGATAAGTCAGAGAAATGTAAAACTTAAAATCCAAAAGCATTACACATGAAAAGTAAACAGCTGGAAAAGAAAATAGAGGAAAAACCTGTTCTAACTATCCTCTTAGCAAAAAAAGAGGTTTTCTGAGATCCATTATATGTCTTCAATCTATGTGATTCATAGCAGCACTGTGAGGCTTTGGGGAAGATTAGGGAATAAAGTTAGAGAAAGTTCTTTGGGATTGATAGCTCTTCAATCTCTAGAATTATTCTCAGTATTGAATAGCTATACTACTTAGGAATGACCTTTTATAAAATCTAATGCTTTACATTTGTTTGAAACTGCTTTCTCAACACCATTCCCAAGACCTTTAAGCACAGCTGTAAGGAAACATTAGTACAATAATCTCTACAGACTCACACACTTATGCCTCTTTATGTAAAGAGTAAAGGGTAGAATATAAAAGGGTGATTGGATAAAATGGTGAAATAAAATGGTACAATAATAAAGAGCCTGAGCATCTGAGTTCAGTAGATTTAGGTCATTCTCAGTTTGCGACTTTTATCTGATTTTGAGCAAGTTACTATTTCACCTTTTTAGGTCTGTTTCTTTATCTGTAAAATGGAATATCTCCCTTAAATAGATAAGTATAAATGAGATTATGATTATATAGATTTTAGCATAATTTTAACCTAAAGTACATATTAGTGTACACAAATGTTATTTCTTAGAATCTTAAAACTATCTTATACTAATCTCTTTTACAAAACTGCCAATACTTTTAAATTCATTGTCCTTTCATTTGGGTTTTTCTATTCATTGTACACTTGTCCTAGCTAACAGAAGTGCATAATTAATGGAGATCTGTAGTCAAATTTTGACTTGCTTTCAGACACTAAGGAAAAAACAATTCTTCTCTGGCATGTAGTACCATAGATATTTCAGTATATTGTTATATAACATTTTAACAATTTTTAAAAGTAACTTTATTGTGGTATAAATTTAAAAATTTATTGATTTTAATTATGTAAGTTAAATTTGGATGAATGTGTACATCTATGTAACTATCTTCACAATTGAGATGTAGAACATTTTTATTATCCCCATATGTTTGCATATGCCCATTCCCATGATGGATGAGAGCAGCTGTGACACCTCTTTGTAATTTTAATTTGAATTTCCCCAACAACTTGATGGTGTTGAGCGTCTTGCTTTCTGTTTATTAGTCAGTTGATCAGTTGATATATCTTCTTTTTTGGTCTTCAAAATCTTTGCCCCCTTTTATAAGTTGAATAATAGCAGTTATTTATATATACTTGATAAAATTATATGTCAGATAAAATATTTTTTTAATTTGTTCTAATTAGTTATATATGACAGCAGAATGCATTTCAATTCATTGTACACAAAGGAGAACAGTTTTTCATTCTCTGGTTGTACACAATGTAGAGTCGCACCATATATGCATTTATACATATACCTGGGGTAATGATGTCCATTTTATTCCACCATCTTTCCTTTCCCCATGCCCTCTCCCCTTCCCATCCTCCCCTTTGCCCAATCAAAGTTCCTCCATTATTTCCACTGGTGCCCCCCACCCCGCATTATGGATCAGCATCTACCTACCAGAGACAACATTGGACCTTTGGTTTTTTGGGATTGGCTTACTTTGCAATATATTTTTAATATATAAATATTGTGAATATTTGCTCCTAGCCTATGGTTTGCTTTTTTATTAGTAGCAAATTTTGAAGAGCAGAGAATTTTATTTTTTAAAATGTTTCTAGGTTCTCTGTTTAAAATAATTACTCTTGTGAAAAACTTGCAAAAATCATACATATAATTCCTATATACCTTTCACTCCATTGGGGATTGAATCAGGGGCTCTTTACCACTGAGTTACATCTCCAGTCCTTTTAATTTTTTATTTTGAGACAGAGTCTCACTAAGTTGCTGAGGTTGGCCTTGAACTTGTGATCCTCTGACTCAGTTCCCTAAGTAGCTGGGATTACAGGCATGCATTACCACACCTGGTATTCTAATATCCTTTTACTGGTCCATGATCTAATCAAGAATATATTTTATCTGATATAGATATTGTTACCCCAGCTTTCTTGCGATTAACATTTGCCTGTTCTTTCATTTTAATTGATCTGTATTGTTTAAACTAGAGTCTGAGAGACAACATACATTAGGTGTCTTCCTTTATTTTTTTTTTTTCTTCAGAGTGATGACAGTCTTTGGATTGTTCAGTAGAGTAACATTATGGAGTATTTACTCTATATTTGTAGACAGTGTTATTGATATGATTGGGTTTAAATCTACTATATCAAAACTTATTTTTTATTTGTCCCATCTGTTTTTATCTTCTTACTCTTTTCCTGCCACATTCTAGATTATTTTTATCATTCTATTTTCCCTCTACTATTGACTACGTGCCATATATGAAGATTTGTTTATGATTTCTTAACAGTGTGAACTTTGGGATTTTAAACTTGTCACAGTTCAGCTTCACATGATATTATATTAATTGCATAAGATATAAGAACATTACAATATAATTGTAGTTCTCTTTTTCTGTCCTTTATGTATTAGTGATATACATTTGCTTTCATTTAACTCCACAATCACCATATTTTTGCTTTAAACATTTATCATTTAAATCAATAAATATAATGAGAGTCAAATGTCCTTTTATTTATTTGTATTTTTCTAGAAGGAATATTTGGGTTTAAGCATATTTTGATTTGTGACTAATTCATGATGATGACTCACCTAAAGAAACTCTTCTAGTATTACATATGTTTTCTTTTATGTTGTTTGAATAGTTTTGGAACTCATTTGTTTCTAAAATAGCTAGACCTAAATAAATACCTGGATGATGTTTCTACATTGATTTTCTAGTTTTCTGAGAATAAAATGAAAAGCTAGGGAAATGAAAGCTAGGAATTCTATCTTAGGAAACTTCACATAAAATGTTTTCCATGGACCCTTGATTTAGAAACCCTGTTTTTAAATAGGTATTTCTATGTATGTAATATTTTGTCATTATGTTTGATATATTATTGATGGTTCTTCTGTCTACTAATTTAGTCTGATAAGGCCTTCTAATATTTTAGTTTTGTGTATGTAAAACATAAAAGTTGAGTTTCATGACGTGTTACAAAGTAAGAACCTTATGTAACCATGATTTAGGTTAAGAACTGGAGCGTTGCCAACACTTTTGTAGTCCTCCACCTACCCCTTAGTCACAATCCTCTCATTTCCACTAGGGTTAACCTCAAATATGGTAATTCCTTTATTGCTTTCTTTTATGGTTTTATAAAATAAATATTCCATAACAAATATTTTATTTTTTCTATTTTAGCTTCATAGAAATAGTTTCAAGGTTTAATAGAAATAGTATGAAAAAGATTCAGCTAACACATGTAAAGTTTAAAATTTATCACTCAAGTTTTAGTTTGTTAGTTCAACCATGTCACTTTATACTCACAGAGATTTATAAATAGTTTCAGTGTATGAGACAATTTACCAAGATCCTAGGTTCTTTGAAAATTACTAATTCCTAATTTAACAGATTCTAGTGCACAACGAAAAATGGTCATTTTGTTTGACAGTGCCCTCTGCTGTCATCAGTGCAGATTGCATTAGGATTCAGCTACTCTATTCTATGAGCAGTCATTGACATTATGGATGATGTGAGACTAAATGGGAAATTGGTCTATATGTGAAAGGATAGAATACTTTCCTCATTTTATCTGAAATGCAGGTACTTATGAAATATACAATTTAAATATATAATTACATAGAGTATATATTTTTTTAAACTGTATGTATATGTTACTGCACTTCAAAATTCTCTACATAAAAGTAAATGCAAATTAAGACTTTGTAGATGTCCTTTGGAGAAAGTGAAAATTATTTAGAATCTACTGTTTATCTTCAAGCATTTATTAGACTTTGGCATCATCCTTCATATTCATTCCCTACCTGTATTTGGGCATAGTTAGGGTTTAAGACAAAAGGCAAAATAGCAGGTGAAATAATCCAAGAATATTTAACCCCTTGATATTTATAAATTGCCATATTATGTTAACCTCTAACTGAAAGAAATATAACATGTCTCAGAGTCTCATTAAATATTTAATTTTGTTGTATGTGAGACTATTGCCCCCTGGTTACATTAAGTAATATATCAGGTATATTCACAGAGTAGAATACAGTTTCCAATAAAAACATGTTCATCTGTAGACTAACTTCTCTGTAAGTGGTGTCTTCATTCATTAAACATTTTTTAGCATGTACATATGCCAGGCACTGTCATTCACAAAACATTTATGTTTTAGGTTTTTGTTCTGTTTTTCTAGTTGAATGTTTCTGTTATTTTTTTAAAAAAACAATGGTCCACAACCAATTACAATAGTCCCTTCCATAGAGTTTTGCTTTCTGTGGTTTCAGCTACCTGTGATCAACCACAGTATGAAAATATTAAATGGAAAATTCCAGGAGTAACAATTTACAGGTACTGTGTTACACATTGTTGTGTAGTCTGATGAAATCTCATGCCATCCTGCTCATATCTACCAGGGATGTGAATCATGCCTTTGTCCGATGTATTCACACTACATATACTACCTGCCCATTGGTGAGTTGCATATATGTAGCTTTAGTAGTGGTCTAACATTCTCAGATCAACTGTTATAGTATCCCAGTGTTTGTATTCAAGTAATCTTTTTTTTTTTTAACTCTATAATGGCTCCAAAGCACAAGAATAATTATGTTGG